ACTACAAACAATGTGGTCTGTAGCACCAGTGTCTAATACCCATAAGGGTTCTCCAGAGGAAGCAATCAAGGTGGAAAGAACAGTGGTACCTGAACTTGAAGGAAGGTAGGGTGCAGCAACAGGTGGCCTATGTCCAGGCACAGCTCTGGTCACTGCATTTGCAGTGTGAACTGAAGGTGAATTGGGAGGTGATGGAGATGGTGATGGTGACTTTGAAAGCAGTAGTTTAAGCCTCTCCATCTGATCATGAGTGAAGATGTTCTCCAATCCAGTTTGGCCCTTGCTGTCAATTGAACCAGAAGAGTTCTCCATTGGGAAAGAACTTTCAATTGAACCAGCAAAAGCACCTTCTGTAGCTTCCCTTGCCTTCTTGTTCTTTAGCTTTAAGCAATCCTTGATGAGATGCCCCTCTTTCTTGCAATAGGAACAGATTTTCTTCCCATCTGGTTGTTGTTGCCCTTTTCCTTTATATGGGTTACCACCAGAAGCAGCTGCTGCAAGGGCAAGGGTTTCTACACCAGAACTTCTATTCATCACTTTCAACTGTCGTTCCAATTGCAAGATCTGCTTAAAGACTATGTCAATGTGAGGCAGAGCAGGCATCATCAAGACCTGTGTCCTTGCTGACTGATAGACATGATTCAGTCCTTGAAGAAACTTAATGACGAAGTCATTTTCTTCATACCTCTTCAAGGTTTCATATGGTCCAGGATTGCAAGGACAAACAGGTATGGGTCTGTACCTTCTGCGTTCTTCCCAAAGAACTGTAATATCAGTGAAGTATTGGCTAACAGATTTATCACCCTGAACACATTTTGATAGTTGGCCATTGAGGTCATAAACCCTGATGTTGTCTTCTTGACTGAATCGATTCTTTAGGTTATCCCAAACATCCTTTGCTAACCCTAGTCTTATGACACTATTTGCTATGTCATCTGAGAGAGAGTTGTAAATCCAACAGCGAATGATGCCATTACAACGAGACCAGGACTGGTAGTGAGGATCTGTTACCTGAGGGACTGGGATACGACCATCAAAGAATTGGGTTTTGTTCTTTGTGTCCAGAGCCAACATCATCACCTCGCTCCAGGTGTGATAATTGCCATCGCCGAGTTTGATGGAGATGATGGTGGAAAGCGCACCATCCTGTGGAGGAAGATATTATGGATTGAGGTATGGGTCTTCATACGAGGTCATAATGGCCTTATTTCTGTCGGAAGATTCAGATTTCTGAGCGGAGTCGTATTCTGCCATTGTTAGTACAGCAGGAGCTCAATGATGGAGTAAGAAATAGAAAGGGAAAACGAAACAGAGTAGATCAACAAGGATGACGGATCTTAGCGCGATGAGCAGCGCTCTGATACCATAAGAAGATTTTAGGAAGAGAAAGGATTGGGGAAATTGCTCATACTGAGCTTTCCATTGAGCAGAGAATATATACACTTTACAGAGTAAAAGCAGCAAAAAGAGATCTACCTTGCCGTTAGTTTTACTGTAAACTATAGACAAATCACAGCTTTACACGTGTAAGACTGTACAGTAAATAAACTAACTAATCAAACCAAACAGTCCGTTGCTTCTCTGCGTCGTCGTTTTCCTTTCCTTTGCTGGCCCTGTTCTTCGTGGTTCATCAGGTGACTCTCTTCTACAACAAGGCCAGCAACCAGCAACTATCTTCTCGATTCCTTGATCAGCAGGAACATAATCACCATCATCTTCCATGTTCCTTTGTTACTTGGCTGGCCACATTTGTACTCAAACTTTCAGCTGCTTAGCTTTGGCTTTAGATTCATATATATGGAGTCAATTAGAGGAAGGGATCGGTTGGAGGTGTTACCGCTCTTATCGTCCACCTTTGATCCCGAGGCCATAACGTTTTTGGCGCTGTGATTGGCTTCCTTCTCTCGTCCTCTAACTGCTGCTATTATTTACAGGAGGAGACAATGGGGGTTTACGTTTTGGGTATGGGGAGAAGGGTAGAGAGAGACCGCTAGGAGTGGGGGAAATAATTATTGGCGGCTGGGGAGAGTTGGGAAAAGGTTTCGTGGGGTGGGGGTTACAACTGCAAGGGTTTTAATTAGTTTCTAGGGTGAAGCCAAGAGAGGGGTGGTGTGGACGAGTGGATTTCCTTATTATTATTACTAGTTCTTTGGCCCGCGCTTCGCGGCGGTAAGAAACTAATTATATCTAAAACTTAGTATAATCGTTTATTCATTTAATGATTATTTTGAAATCAAATAATTCACAAAATAGTTCTAGTATAGATATATAGATAATCTTCATGTAGTTTCTTAATCATTACCATAGACTTACATAATACATTTTTTTCAGTGATATTTGAGAAATAATTATATCTTCATAAGTTTAAAATAATGTATTCGTAATTTATGTAACAGTTGTAGAATAGTGTTAAATCTTTCATAATATGTGGTCTAATAATAAAATCAAGTTATGAGAAGTATCACATTTGATAAAACTATATATATATATATATTCAATCTCCTACCCCCAATTTGACCATAAACTCTTTTACCTTTAGACATATATTTCAGTATTTTTTATTACATATCATGAAAGATTTACGTATTATAAATATATTAAGAAACTTATAATCAAATATAATGTTCAACATGTCATTAATTTGCATCATGCAAAATCTGTAAGGTAAACAATGCACTGTGAGAAAAAGAGCTTATGATAAAATCGGGTGTAGCTGAAAAATTAAAAATTACCGAGATAGCTGTCTAAAGGTAACCACAAAATAATTAGCCTTTAATAAGCTCTACACAGTGTCTTAATCATTATCTAATACTTATGGAATATATTTATATATTTATGTAATTGATACATAAGAAATCACTGTCCATCCATAACTTTTACATAATGTATTTCTAATTTATATAACTTTTATAGAATGTTGTTACAAAAATCTTTTGTAATATGTTTTCTAATAATAAAATCAAAGTGCATAGTGTAATTGTTATAGAATAGCGTTATCCAATCTTTCGTACTTTGTGATCTAATAATAAAATCAAAATTACATAGTATGGTGTTACTTTACAAATATTTCGTATTTGTCCGTCCTCTACCATGAGTGTATAACGTTATCTTACAAATATTTTGTATTGGCTTGTCCTTTGTCATGGTATAATATTACCATGATATTACAATTACCGAGAGGGATGATAGAAATAACAATGCTAGGACGGTTGGGTGATGTGAAGGGTGGTAGTATTGGATGCTAGAGTGTAAAGAAGGAAGGAAGTGTATGGAGCATAGTATTAAGTTTCCTTTAGTTCCATCCTACTGGAAATAATTAATCCCGCAAAGTTTTTGTTTCTTATGGTACATCCGGCCGCAGCTTATAAATGCTATGGGAACAGTGATATCCGGTTTTACATTTACCCGGATTTGTCGTATGCAACAGTAAACCCATTAAAGCTAAACTTGTGCTTTTAATTAATTAATTATGCACAATCTACGGTTGTAACTTTTCGTACGTAACCATCGATCCAACCGTTCACGTATTATGGTGGAACCATAACCCAAAATATGTGGTGTTACAGATCTCCATGATGCCTTGTAGGGAATTTGGCAAGGATCGCGCTCTGTTGATGAGTACTTCAAGGAGCTAAAACTGCTCATGATGAGAGAAGATAAAAGGAAAGACAAGGAAGCAATGATTGCTTGCTTTCTACATGGGCTCAATAGAGAAATCTAGAATGAAGTAGAACTTTGTCAGTTTGTGTAGTTGGAGGAAGCGATGCATTTGGGCATGAAGGTAGAAAGGCAGCTGAAGGTAAGCTCGGGAAGAAGGTACCACCTTCACCCAAACCTGTTGCAGAGAACATTCCTGAGGCTAACATAAATCATCCTAAGCAAGAAGGTGACAAGCCAACTGCCAGGAACACGGCCCCAGACATTCAAGCCAAGAATGAAAGATCGGCTGGAAGAATCCATTGCTTCAAGTGATTCTTGTTGAGGTCACAAGGCCAATAGTATGAAGAGAAGCCCATGGGAAATGGATTCGGCTCTGATGTTCATTCTGAAGATGATGATGTGGATGAGCACATCAAGGCTGAGAAACCTCCAGAGGGTAAACTTCTTGGAGTGAACCACCGAGCTTTATCCATTGAACCTTACACAGAGACAGACTAGAGGGAAAATCTTTTCCATTCTCGTTGCTTGGTCGATGGGAAGGTGTTATCCGTGGTGATTGATGGTGGTAGCTGCACCAATGTGATTAGTGTGGATGCAGTCAAGAAGTTGGGATTGAGCACCATCAAGCATCTTCAACCATACACTTTGCATTGGTTGAACGACTATGGGAACATCATAGTCAACAAGAAGGTCAAGGTTTGTTTTTAGATCGGTGACTATGCAGATGAGATTTGGTGTGATGTTGCTCCAATGCAGGCTGCCCATCTCCTATTGGGTCGTCCGTGGCAATACGATCGAGAGGTCATTCATGATGGAAGATACAATAGCTACCGCTTCAAGAGAGGCGATCGAAAGTTTCTGCTCAATCCATTGTCACCAGCTGAAGTCCAGGAAGATCAACAACAGCTGGCCATGAACCGGACCAAGGAAAAAGGAAGTGCAAGTGGCTCGAAAGAACCGCCTTATCGATTAGTGGTTAACCGATTAGCACCCCTACATATGTCCATTATCAATTTTTCAGCCTTAACCAAATACTTAGCTCCCAAGATGCTTCTCAATACATACATAGCCTGGGTTAACTATAATTAATTTTAGGTTCAAGTGGGATTAATTTTGAAAATTAATTATCGCAATCAATTAATTTTAGGGTCAAGTACGCCAGCCACAGGAAACTACCACCGAATTTCGTTTTGTGGAAAATGAGGGGGAAAAAACAAAAAATACAATGATTAATGATTAAGAATGGCCGTCCTGCTGCCTGCCGACTTCATAGTTCATACACTGAAATACACTCACCCAAACGCAGGTCCTAACCAATCTCAAACTCAGTTCTTAGCTCTCAAGTTCCGAACTTTACTGCAAATGGATGAAATCGCAGTCAAAATCCCATGTTTCCTTAACAACCCAGTTTCCGGCTAGCCTATAGCTTTGCTCTGTTCTCGAGCTTTTTCTTTTACCCTTCTTTCCTTCCAGTTTAGAATTTCCCCTTTCAGAGATAAGAAAGTATGCCTTCTTTCCTTCAATCAACCGTCCCGGCGTCCGCTGGAGCTGGGCTCAATATTCTCTTCGAGCATGTCCTAGTGGCAATTTTTAACGTGTCGAAGAATAACTCCATCTTCGATTCGACCTTCCAGCGGCTGGAGCAAACCTTGCGGTCCATGGGTCCAGCCATCAGCAAAATCGATGCTTACAACATGGATTTCGATCGTCCCAAAGAGATAGATGGGCTGAAGATCATACTGAAAAAGGGTGCTCAGTTGATCACCAAGTCTGCAAAGATAAAGTGCTATGACGTTGTGAGGAGGCTCATGTATTCAAGGAAGCTTCTCAAGCTGGAAGACAAGCTCACAAGGTACAGTACCTCTAGGCTGCAGCTTCATCAAGTGGCCGACGGGAAGGAGATTCTGTACGAAGTGAAGCAGCTGAGCTATCAAGTGTGGGAAATGAGAATGGAAGCAGCAGGTAGCTATGGTTCCACGGGGGGAAGTGGAAAGACCACTTTCGCCACTGCGTTTTGCGATGATCAAGAAGTTAAAGGTACCTTGTTTTATGTTTTTCTTTACTTGGACCTTGTTAGTTTTGGACCACTTAATGGTGTGACCTCCCTCTTTTTTTTATTTGATTAGAACCTTGTTGTTATCCCTCTTTTGATTGTCTACGTTGTTGTTTGATTGGATTTGGATGAAGAATATTGGGTTCGGTTCTCACTTGAGCACAAACATGTGAAAGAGGATCGGCTGGTGAAGAGATATAGTTAACTGTTAGCATCTTGCTAAATCTTTGAATAGAATACTAGTTTTTTTGCCCGCGTTGCTAGATACAGCCTACCGATTTGCTTATGGTAAAAGGTTTTTCTGGTCGAACTGTTGTTATGGTACGGTTTTCAATCCTTTGTTAGAACCTTATGTTAAAACAAACAAGCATAGTTCTTTTTTCAAAGGAAACTAAAAGAAGAAGTGTCAAATAATACTGCCCCTTCATAAAATTTACATTATATATTTTTAATTTATGTAACTGTTATAGAATGATGTTATGTAAATCTTTCGTAACCATCTACCGGAGTAACTGGCCTTTGTAGTTAGGCAATGATAGATAGTAACACCAAACTATAGAGTTGTTAATAGTTACAGTATAGTTTTACAGTAGTTGAATGTTCGGAAGATGTTACAGTTGACCGTCTCATAGAGGGATGCCTTTACTCGTTGTATCGGATTGCCACTTTGACGTTTTATTAATCGAAGGGTTTGATTCAACGGGAAATTTTTTTTTTTCGTAATTTGTGGTCTAGTAATAAAATCAAATAATTGAAAGTATCCAATTAAACTATTGTGTAAAAATTAACTGACCTTATAGAATCTTTAGTAAAGCGTGATTAGAACCAAGGATGAAATATCGTAACGAAGGTCATACCGAAAAAGTGAGCGGTATGATATTTTATGATAAAATCATGGTTCAATCATTCCATACTGCTAAATACCATATACCAATTTTACTTCCAATAGTAGATTTTTCAGGTCGAATTGTCAGTACGATGCATTTTTCAAACCTTGGTTAGAAGTTAAAATCTGAAGTAAAAGCAAATGCAAATCTGACCTAATTATATAAAGAAATAGAGCTTATAATTCCCTGTTTTTTGTACTGAGATTATAATGTATGTATTCAAATATTAAGAAAATATTTAAAATTATAATGTATGTATTCAAATATTAAGAAAATATTTAAAATATCATATAATAAGTGCTATTAGTCACTTTCTCTATATAAAATTTAGGTCCTACTATTAACGTAAACATGAAGAGCGTAAACATGAAGAGTATGAACTTCGAAAAATATCATAAATGACTAAAAAATATGTTTTATAAAATTTTATTCGACCAACGAGCCGCCAACTAATCTAGTTATTAATAATATAATAATTATAGCAAATTTCTTTCTCATTTTCCTTACACTTTCTCTTCTCCCCTCCTCTTATTTACCCTTGCTTTCATTTCATGGAGGATAATATATAAAAGTACCGTTTTGATATCCAGACTTAATTTATCTTAATATTCCGTACTTAATTTAATTTTTTACATAAAGTCCAAAAAATATCAACAAAAAATTACATTTGAATATTAATTTTTTTCTTACATTTTGATATCCGAACTTTGTAAATCTAAAAAAAGGTTCACTATTAAGAAACGTGTTGTATGTTTTATAAGATTGTAGCCTATTTAATAAACTTTTGATGTCTTTTGTAGAAATTGTGGTCTGCTTCATAGGACTTGTGGTGTTCTTTTATATACTCATGGTATAGTAAGGTTTTGGTCTCCTTTCTAAAGTTTGTGGTTGCGTTAATGGGGTTTCACATACAAAGTTACATTTTTTGGTTGTTTTAATAAACTTGTTGTGTGCTTTTATAAACTTGTGATGTGGTGATGTTGTGGTCTTCTTTCTAAAGTTTGTGGTTGCTTCAATAAACTTGTGGTATGGATTATGAGACTTGTGGTATATGCTTCATGAGACTTCTAGTATGCTTTAAGAAACTTGTGGGGTGCTTTTATAAACTTGTGGTGTGATGAGTTTGTTATCTCCTTCCTAAGGTTTGTGATTTATTTGTAGTTTGGTTTCTTGTTTATGGTCTATGTTTGGTCGTCCCCCTACCCATTTCCATTAATGCCTTAATACGTTGGTACCCCTCCCAAATTTTCATAACACCAAGCATGCGCATCCACCTTCCCTTATCAATTGTGGTCAGCTCGTTTAAATTTAGAAAGTCATCCAAATGAAATGTTTTAAACCATGCTAGATAGGGCAAAGTGGACAAATCTTTGCTACTGCGATCTTGGAGGAGTCTGTTTATAACCAATATAATATCATTTTTGCTTACCTAATGGGTAACGGGGAAGACAAATGTCGCCATTTAAAATAGCGATAAAGCTTGTCGCTTTACAAACTGGCAATATATAGTATATCATTTTCTGATGGACTATAATTTGTTGATGTGGCCAAGTCGCGTTCGTCTCACATTGATATGAATAGGATAGTACGGGAAGCGGATCAAGTTAATAACCTTGTGGTTAATAATTATGCATAATCAATCAAAATTCGCCACATCAGCACTCCTTCTCTTTCCTGAAATACTTTTAATTTTTCCTCATTAATCTTTAACAGACGATTTCTCACTCATTTTAAGTCGATTTTTTTTTTTGCACAGTTAGATCGGATTAATTGTGCTCCTCAAAATGATATCCACTTTGATATATTTTTGGAGCAAAAAAAATTGAGTCATTTTTTACCAATCTATACCATATGGTATTGACTGGTAATGAAATAAGAGCATACATATGCTATGAAAAGCGTACCATGGTGGTATGAATAAACCAAGACTGTAGGATGATTGAATACATGATAGTAGAAGTATATTGATAGTCATTTACGACTTTTAACATTGTGTACCACATGATACCACCTCGTACAATGATGATATTTTTTGGTCCTGTATTTTGTTCACCCAGAAATTTGTAGATCCAATAGATCATAATAAACTCATTCCTTCTGTGCAAAAATTTTCAAAAACGAATTAAAAACGAAGAAGATATCATATGGTATGCAGTTGGTACCGAGAGGCAAAAAAAATTCATAAAAAATATTACAAATGGATCTCATTTTGTAGAGCACAAGGAACTCATTCCAACTATGCAAAAAAATGAAATCCGAGTTAAAACGAAGAAGATATGAGTCGATTAAGAAAACAAGGGGAAAATAAAAATGCATTTAATTTTCCACCCTTAGAACTGAATTTTTTGAATGAAGTGTCCAGATGTAGTTACTAATGGGTGCATAACCCATAATGTCAGCTAGGGGTGGCAGAACAGTTTTTGGTTAACAGTTAACGAACGGTTTCAACCGAACCGACCAGTTTTTGGCTAACCAAAAACCGTTACTTTTATCATCGGTCGGTTGTTGGAGGAGAGGGGAAGAGGTTCGGCTAGCCGACTAACCGACCTCTTCTCTAAAACGACCCCGCACCATCCCGAAAATGACCCAAAAAACCAAAAACGACACCCAATTACCCAAATGGCCAAACCCTAACAGAAACCCCTTCTCCCCTTCTCGACTTCTCTAAATCCACCCCTTCCCCCAACCGCGCGCTCGCCTGGGCCCCGCGCTATCTCCTGCGACCGCCCCTCCTCTCCCTCGCCGATTCGCGACCTCGTCACCCCTCACCAACCATCCTCACCGGTCGCCGCGGGCTTCTCGTCGCCCCTCATGCCCTCATCAGCCACCCTCGCCGCAGGCTTCTCGTTACCCCTTCACCAGCCACCCCGCCGCCTCCACCCTCACATCGAGACGACGAGATGAACAGCTGGGTTTTTTTTTTTTTTTTGCATGTCGGTTGATTAGAGGTCAGTTAGGCAGTTAACTCCGAACCGACCTCCATTTTACGGTTGTTCGATTAAACCAAGTTGAAACCAAAAACCGGTTAGTCGGTCTGTGGCTAACCGAGGCTGCAAGGCGGTCGCTAGTCGGAAGCCGCAGTCAGTGTCTCGATTTAATCGATAACCAAAAAATCGATTTTTGTTTAAACCAAAACCGACCGACTGACAGCCCTAATGTTAGCCAAAACCAACACTCCAACTTGCACGACCCAATATACTCATTCACCAAAAATTTCTTCCTCCCGCTACTCCCTCTCTGGTCTCGGTAGCTCTCTCTATTCTCGTCCTCCCTTGCCTTCTTCACTTCTCATATAAAAAGAAGAATTAGTCATTTCATCTCCTAGCTTATGTAGGTAAAAAGAATGAATTGAATTAGTTTTTTTACTAGTTATACATTCACTTTTTATATGTGCCGTGTAATATGAATAATAGGTACATCGAGCTTAAGCAACTCTTTAGCAGGAGTACATTCTATAACTGAGAAGCTTAGTTATATAAATCTTTGTAGATTAGTGTTATTTTGTATTCTTGGTCATTTTAGATTAGGGGTACAGCATAACACTTGAGAATTTATATCATGATTAGACTAGGATTATAATTTTGGATTATAGAATAGAATTTAGATTTCATGTTTACTTACGAGTATAACTTAGATTTTCTCGAATTAGGGTAGAAAAATATCAAATATATTAATGTCGCTTATATTCTAATTGTTTTCCTTTTTTTTAATTGTAGATATGATTCAAAAATTCACACTTTGTTTTCGTTGGGATGGTGAAATGATAAGATCCACGAAAGGAATTGATTATCAAGGTGCCCACTCCAAGAAAATGACTATCCGAGAGAAAATTACATGGCTTGAACTCTCAAACATAATAGAGAGAGAAACTTGCATTAGGGGTCATCGAACAGTATCTAAAATGACATATCGGATGCCAACTCTGGTATTCAACATCCTTGAATATGTTGAATTTGTACTTGCAGATGATGAAAAGATGGATATGATGTTTGAGTTCTTGAAAGAAAATCGAGGTATTAAAGTGGTTGAGGTGTATGTGGAGTTTGAAGATGTGGATAAATGGGGAGGTTATCCGTTTTTAGGTGGATACTATGGTAGTTCTGTTGATTCTTCCAACCAGCATGGCAGGAGTATGGGATCTTCCAACCAGTATGACAGTGGTGTGGGATCCTCTCATCAATATGATAATTGTGCAGAAACTCATTCAGGATACAATTATAAGCCACAAACATCTTTAAGAGTCTATGCAGGATACAACTATATACCACAACCAACTGGATATGGTAGTGGTAGAGTAGCTTCTCCAGTCATGTCTACTTGTTCTACTTTGCCCATGTCTTGTATTGAGAATGAGGAATTGGTGAGAGGTGAATATGGTGACCCTTCGTGTCCAAGGTCGGGTCCTCCTAACTATAGTAGTGAGGATGACTTTGAAGATGATGAAGATGAACTCAAAATGATAAGCATTGATGACCCGATTAGGGATGAAGGAGAAAATATACCATCGACACCACACTATAAAATGCTCCTACCACATCTGGTGTGTGATCAGAACGATAACTCAGAGAATCCTCCTACACCATTATGGGATTTGTCAACTCTGTTCCAGGTGAATACGACATTTCCTGGAAAAAAAGAATATATGGCTTTGAAACGGGAGGCAATGGGTCGAAATTTTGAGTTCAGTGTCTACAGATCCAGCAAAATAAAATTGCATGTCCAATGCAAGAAGATCGACGAAGGATATAGTTGGAATGTTCGAGTGGCAGTATTGGGTGATATGGACTTTTGGGTTATTCATAAAGTGCAAAACAATCACACTTGGAGCTCAGGTACACTTGTCCAAGACCGTCTCCTACTTTATTCAAACTTTGTGGCTGATAACATCAAGCACTTGGAGAAGGTACAACCAAACATCACCATCAAAGCAATACAAGCAGAAATTCAAACACATTTATCATTCACAATCAAGTACAAGAAGACATCGCATGGAAAACAAAAGGTCATAGAAGAAGTGTATGGTGATTGGCTCGAGTCCTACACGTATCTCTCATTGCTTACCGAAGCAATTGAGCATTGTAATCTCAGGTTTGTTTTCTAATATTATTTCAAGAACTTTAGAACTCCTAACAACCAAAAGGTGCATGGAAAACTTACGTTTCATTGTCTTTTTTTTCCTTTAAACCAAACATCAATAGGTTTCCTCATTATCTCATTATTATCCAAGTTGATGGCACATTCCTAACGGACAAGTATAAAAGATGCTTTATAATTGCCGGTGGTGTTGACAAGAAGAACCAAATATTTCCACTAGTGTTAGATGTGGTGGAAGGTGAGAAGAAGCGTCGTTGTGAATGGCTCTTTTTGCAACTACATAAGTATGTAATCCAACATGAAGACCTTGTTATTTCTAATGGACATAATGGGATCTCTCATTCTAAGCACGTTATTGGGTCGAAGATCCCTTGGAAGGGTCAATGGTTCTTACGTCATTTTATCAACAATTGCGGGGAGAGATGGAGTAGAAAGTACATCAAACAACGATTGTGGTGGCCAGGTATGCATGCTTCAATATCTTCAATTGTTTGAATATCAATTTTTAAAGATATTATGTGTATAACGTATTCCAACGTCGCAGCTTTGATGCTCTCTTAGACGTGAATTTTTTTCACTTTGTAAAATAGAATGAAGTTAATTATATCTATTTATTCATAAAATTATCAATGTATTCAAATTATGGTCTATCCTCCTCCAACTAGTACATGGTATGCATCTCCTGACCATCAAAGCTTATGTCATTAATTCGAGTGACGATTTTCTCTATGTCGCCTTTTTTACTAGCAATATCTCTTATTGTGGTAGTTATATTCTTCCGAACCCGCTGCGATGCTAGCAAAAACCCATCTACATTGGGAATTTACTTCTCCTGCACAACTACATTGGGAATTAATGGCAAGGTACTGTTATTATAAATTTTTTGAAAAAGAATATTTTAAAAAAAAATCTTGAATTCTTGAAATATATTCTGCATCTAGTTAAAGCTCTTAAAGAATGTAAAATGCTGCTACTTGTGGACTTATTTGAACTGTAACTGGTGGCTTTCCTTAGATGTTTTAGTATTATGTGCAGCACTTCAAATTTGGTCCCTCTTCGGCTCTTCCCTTTTCATTTTCTTTGTACAGAACTGAAAAAGTTATGCTACTTCTGAAGTCATTAGTTGTTTTTATTAACCGCGGACAGTCAGGTGCCTGGGTTATTATTTGGACAACATCATGATCATCTGGACAACCGTCACGAAAGCAGCCAATCTACTGACGATTTGGCATAATATCTTCCAGCGTTTCGGCCGTCAGGTGCCCGTGTTTCATAGGGAAGAAGATGCAGTCAACAAACTTGAATACTTGCTCAAGGATATGGATGGAAAGCCTACAGACAAAATGCAGGCATTGAGTGATGTGGATGCTATGGACCTCTTTCGTCAGTCAGCTTTCCTTCATGAGGGGAACTCGTATGAGCCAGATCAAGAAGTTCCAGAAAAGGTTTATTCCTCACTAGCAATCATGGTTCATGGATGTGTATTCTGCCACTGAATTAGAATGAATTTCGGAAGAGTACTGATATGCTTTTTGCTCTGCAGATAGTGAAAAGATGTAAGGTATTTCCACTACTGATTTCTGTGGTGGGGAAATCCTTACTCAAAAATCCTATGGTGGAGCGGCACAAAAGAGCGAAGGAATGTTCAAAGACTGCTTCCTTTCTTGAAAACTCTGAGGTACTCGACTGTCTGCAGAAGAGTGTGGATCCTTTAGATAATAAGCAACCAATCAAGGAGTGTCACATGGATCTAGGGTTGTTCCCTAATCACAGAAAAATCCTTGTCGCGGCCCTTATCGATATGTGGGTAGAATTGCATGGTCTGGATGAAGACTATGTTATATCTAACCTCTATGAACTAACTCTCTTTCAGAAATCTAGTTGATTTTGTAGTCAACAGGTAAATTGACCACCCATCCCTCCCAAAGTTTTATACCTCAGCAACAGTTTTATTCACATGATCTTGGCTTGATGGCATTCAATATCCAGGAAAGATGCAAGTGAAAATGATGGCTTCCACAATGAGGATTTCCTGACAGAGCATGATCTGCTGAGAGAATTAGCTACCCTTCAAAGCAACTCTGCTAGCTTGCAGCTGACAAAAAGACTTTTTGTGGAAATAACATTAACATGCAACACTTTCCCTCAATGGTGGACAGGAAGCCTTGGAAAAATCTGTAACGCCAAACTCTATGCCATTACCACAGGTTATTCATCTGCCTAATCATTTCAATTATTATCAACTTATCTTTACTTCAAGTTTTGGACTCCTTCCTAATAAGAATGCATATGTTGCAAATGACAACTTCTCATCGAGTTGGCCTGACATACATTCTCCTGAGGTTGAGGTATTAGTTCTGAACTTCAAGACCCAGAACTATGGCTTACCTAATTTCATTGAAAGAATGAAGAACCTGAAGGTTCTAATACTAACGTACCACGGGTTGTGTCCTGCTTATCTGGGTGATATCCACCATCTTGCTACTCTACCCAATATGAAGAGAATCAGGCTTGAAAAGACTTTGATTCCATCAAATCTCCTGCAAAGCATTGCTTCAGCAACTCTACAAAAGTTATGCTTATGCATACTTAGTGTTGGTCAGGCATTTAGCAATGTAAGCATTCAGCCAATTCCTTTCCCAAACTTGGAAGGAATCAGCATAGACTACTGTAGCAATATGATGAAGCTGCGAGTTTGGTTCTTCGATCTACTCCAACTGAAGAAGATTAGCATTACCAACTGTCAAGAAGATCTAGGGAACTTGGTGTCTTGGAGATGTCAAGGCTTAATTCATGTATAGAGTTTTCAGAGTCGCCAGAGTTGATTGGGAACCTTCAAGTGTTCAAGATTCAAGTGTTCAAGATTCTGGACATATCAGAATCAGATTGTGCAAGCATAAAAAAGCTGCCTAAACAAGTTGGTGAGCTCTCCAGCCTGAGGAAGCTGTACATAATAGAATGTGATCGTTGTGAAATACCGATATCGGTTGCTGAACTTGGCAATCTGAAGAAACTCATGAGAATTGTGTGCGGATTAATGTCATGTTTTTGTATTTAAGTTTTTACTTGATATTAAACAATTGTGCGCGGATTGATTCTCATTACTATAGCTAATAGTAATGAGAATGTTCCTTATGTGTATTGTGTAATAGAGGCAATTACGTGCTTGTCTGGCCTTGTACATATTTAGTGAAAACAAGTGTTGTTTGTCCATAAAAAAAATCAATAGAAATAACATGTCTTGTTTGACTGGATGAGGATTAGTTTTGCTAGAGAAAGTAGAAAATAAATGCGATTTTGAGAATCAGGTATTAATTATTATAGTTCGGTAATAAGCCAGTGGTAATATTTTAGATGAATATGATATCGACAAAGTACGGGAGATATCCATGATTAATAAGTAAGAAATTGAACTTAACTGGCAAGATGCCTTTTCGGGTGAAATGGAGGAGTTATCACAAGAACACGTAAGTTAGACATGCTTGCTTTGGAGCACTACAAGGATGGATGACCTTATCGAAAGTCATATTGGCATGCACCCCAAGCTAAAATTCTTGAGGGTCTAAAGGCAAAGCGAACAATATCTCAGCCTCTCTGGGTTCCTCTTGAACGATGATGGAGCATACCTAGGTGAATCCCACATCGAGAAAGCACAGGAGAGATCCATGATTCATAAATAAGAAATCGGCTTTAACTAATAAGACGTGTTTTGGGGTGAAATAGAGGAGTTCTCGAACTCCAAAGTTAAATGTCCTCACTGTAGAGCACAACAATGATGAGTGGTCTTATGGAAAGTCACATTGACATTGCACCGTAAGCTAAAATTTGTGAGAGTCTAGGGTCAACCCAACTATATCTTGTCAGGAAAATGTTCAATCCGTGAGGGTCTAGCGACATTTACACTAAAATCATGATTCAACAATTTCATACATACCGTTAAAACGGTCTACCAAATTAGCCTCAAATTGAAAATATGAGCCACTACGGTATAGTTTTTTCAATCATTGATTATAGTTCCAAGATGTTCTAGTTAATTTGTCTCTGAATACCGCACCCACAATAGCTCACTCAATAGGACACATGTTTGAAATGTTATACATTTATAGCAAAAATATCATATTTAGTACAAAGGGCCGGAAATCCAGGATATATGTCTACCCGCCAATTAGCGCCAGGAACTTTCCCCGGAATTTCGTTTTGTAGAAAAAAGGGCCGGAAAAATGGAGCGAGGAATGGATGAGGTCAGTAACCTTATGGTGAGTAATCATAAGTAACTCGTCTACGACGTCAGAATGACATCAGCATTCTCTCTCCTGGAAAGCCTTTAATTTTTATTCTTTAATCTTTGACGGACGATTTCTCACTCATTTTAAGTCGAAATTTAATTTTTTTTGCACACTTAGATCATATTAATTGTGCTTTTCAAAATGATAGCCACTTTAATATATTTTCGAACAAAAAAAATTGAGCCATTTTTTACCAGTCTATACCATATGGTATTGACTGGTATTGAAATAAAAGCATACCTATGGTTTGAAAAACGTACAATGGTGGTATGAACAAACCAAGACTGTAGGATGATTGAATACATGATAGTAGAAGTATATTAATTGTCATTTACGACTTTTAACATTGTATACCACACAATACCACCCCGTACAAGGGTGGTATTGTATGGTATTGTGTGGTATTTTTTTGTCCTATAATTTGTTCACCCAGAAATTTTTACATCCAATAGATCATGATGAACTCGTCCCTTCTGTGCAAACGTTTTCAAAAACGAATTAAAAACGAAGAAGATACCATACAATACCACCTTGTACCAGGGTGGTATTATATGGTATTGTGTGGTATTTTTTGGTCCTGTAATTTGTTCACCCAGAAATTTGTAGATCCAATTGATCATGATGAACTCGTCCATTCTGTGCAAACTTTTTCAAAAACGAATCAAAAACGAAGAAGATACCATATGGTATGTAGTTGGTACCGAGAGGCCAAAATTTTTTTTCTCAAAAAATATTGAAAATTGATCTCGTTTTGTAGAGCACGATGAACTCGTTCCATCTGTGCAAAAAAAAAATTAAAATTCGAGTTAAAACGAAAAAGATATGAGTCAATTAAGAAAACTAAAAAAAATAAAAATGGTCTTTAATTCTCCTTCTTTAGATCTGAATTTTCTAAATAAAGGATCCAGATTTGGTTATTGATGGTTATGCACCCTATCTTGAGCGGGGACAAAAAACCTCCACCAGCGGCGGATCCAGAACACAGAAGTGCACTGGGCCGCATTTTATTAAAAAATTAGAATAGTAAAAAAATATAATGATTATAATTTTTTTACAATGTAAATTGTACACGACGGTATTTTAATTTAGCGAATACATTAATAATGGAGTCCACATCCGTACCAATAGTATACACTGTTTCAAATAAAATACTTGAGCAATCGACTAGAAAATAGAAATCCATCGCTCATTTTGTTGCGCAAATCAATTTTCACATGTTTCGTTGTTGAAAAGGTTCTATTCGTATTAGCTGTTGAAACGAGCAGCATATACACTAGACAAATCAATCTACTAATCAATTTGCATTGTGTTTCCATCCCTATATCCACCAGCTGCTCTAGTAAATTTTCCAAGGTAACAAACCTCATATATGTTTTAGTCTTTTACGTTTTAAACTTTTTGAATTTTTAGGTTTCATTGTTTTTTTAGACGAATAACCTTTGGGGTTAGAATTTATAAGCTAAATTTAGAGTAGTGATTTTGAATATGTTCATCTGAATTATTTTTCTAATTATACCCAATGTTATTTTAAAATAACAACGACCCAAATATCTAAAATCGAAAAATTCATAAGGCCTATACTAACTATGGATCCAGAGGAGGGCTGGGCCGGGGCCCGGGTGGCCACCCCCTCGATCCGCCACTGACCTCCACATAACAAAATTTCAGATAACGTCCTGCTTGCTTGCTTTCGACTTCATACAGCGACGGCGTCTTCCCCGTCAACTCAGTCGCACACACTCACCCAATGAGAACGCCGTTAGTTAACAATACCGCGGAACCACCAACGACGAAAAGCCTCTCAATCTCGTCAACGAGAGAGTAAACGCAGCTCTGAATATACAACTCCTTAAACCCCAACTCTCCCCCTCCTTCCAGATCATCTGGGTCTTACTTTGCCGCGTCGTGGGATTAATTTCATCCACGCTTCCTCCAATCTCACACCCAAACCAACCTCAATTTCATCTCTCAGCTCTCAAGTTCTAAACTTCACTGAAAATGTATGAAATCGCAGCCCAAATCCCCCGTTTCGGCAACAACCCAGTTTCCGGCTAGCCTAGATTTGCTCTCTTCTCGAGCTCTTTCCTTTTCCCCTTACCTTCCCGTTTGAATTCTCCGTTTCAGAGAAAAACGAAACCATGTCTTCTTCTTTCCTTCAATCAACCGGCTCGGCGTCCGCGGGAGCAGGGTTCAACATTGTCTTCGAGCACATCCTGATGGCAATCGTGGACGTTTCCAAGAAAAACTCCATCTTCAATTCGACCTTCCAGCGGCTGGAGCAGACCTTGCGCTCCATGGCTCCAGCCATCAAGAAGATCGATTCGTACAACAGGGATTTCGATCGCCCGGAAGAGATAGATGGGCTGAAGGCCATACTGAAGAAGGGTGCCGAGCTGGTCGCCAAATCTGCTAAAATTAAGCGCTATGACGTTGTGAGGAAGCCCATGTACTCAAGGAAGCTGCTCAAGCTGGAAGACAAACTCAAGAGGTACAATACCACTGTGCTGCAGCTACATCAAGTGGCCGACGGGAAGGAGATTTTGTTCGAAGTGAAGCAGCTGAGCAACCAAGTGCGGCAAATGAGCATGGGGGCGGCGGCAGCTGGTTACGGCTATTCAGGGGGAAGTTTTGGGGCAGTTGGAGGTGGGTTCTCGGCGCCTATGCTGAAAGTGGTTCCTGTGGGATTGGAGATTCCATTGACGGAGCTGAAGAAGAAGGTGGTGAATGATGGGGTTCCGTTTCTTGTGCTTTCTGCTCCTGGTGGATGTGGCAAGACCACGTTGGCCACTGCGTTTTGCCATGATCCAGAAGTTCAAGGTACCTCCTTTTTTGTGGTTTTACTTGGAACTTGTTAGTTTTGGACCACTTATGTTGTTGGTTGTTTGGATGCCGAATATGGGGTTCGATTCTCTCGCTTTTAATAGCGAAGGGGATTTGCTGAGTTGCTAGATAGAGCAAAGTAGGCAAACCTTTACTACTGGGATCTTGGAAGAATATGTTTCAACCGTATAAAGGAAGCCATAAGGAATTCAAAAGTGAATCTTTCTTACTCAAACGGGGTTTGGTTCTTTGATTCTCTCACTTCCAAATGCAAAAATGATTCCATAAGAAGGAATGTCCTGAGTTACTAGATACGGTTTTGATAAAAGTAGGTAAATCGGTATTTATATGTTAAAGGGTGAGTCTTTCTTTCTTGCTTAACATGGAGCTTTGCTTGTTGGAGTATTTTTTTTCTTTCCTGGAACTATATTCTGCATCTAGTTAAAGCTCTTAAAGAATGTTCATCTCTTTTTTGTTATTGTTGTCGTCCAAAAATGGAAAATGCTGCTAATTGTGGACTTATTTGAATTGTAACTGGTGGCTTTCCTGAGTTCTAGTATTATGTGCAGTACTTCAAATTTGGTCCCTCTTTCCTTATCCTTTTCTCCATGTACAGAGCTGGAAAAGCTGTGCTATTTCTGAAGTTATTAGATGTGTTTTGTAACTGTGGACAGTCAGGTATAAGGACAACCTCATCTTTATCACCGTATCGAAGGCAGCCAACTTACTGACGATTGGACAAAATATATTCCAGCGTTTGCGTCGTCGGGTGCCTGGGTTTCAAAGTGAAGAAGATGCAGTCAACAAAATTGAATGCTTGCTCAAGGATATGGATGGAGAGCCTACACTTTTGGTTCTTGATGATGTTTGGTCGGGATCAGAGGTCCTTCTTGATAGGCTCAAATTTAAGATAACTAACTTCCAAATTTTGGTAACCTCAAGAGATGAATTCAAAGCATTCGGTTCGACATACAAATTACAGACGTTGAGCGATACGGATGCCACAGACCTCTTTCGTCAGTCAGCTTTCCCTCAAGAGAGGGACTCTTACGAGCCAGATCAAGAAGTTATGGAGAAGGTAGATTTCTCACTTGCAATCATGGATGTGTATTTTTTTGCTGAATAAGAATGAATATACCGGAAGAGTACTGATTTGCTTTGTGCTTTGCAGATAGTGAAAAGCTGCAAGGGCTTTCCACTACTGATTTCTGTGGTGGGAAAATCCTTACTCAGGAAACCGGCAGTGGAGTGGCGCAAAAGAGCCAAGGAATGTTCAAAAACTGCTTCCTTCCTTGAAAACTCACAGGTACTCGACTGTCTCCAGAAGAGTGTGGATGCCTTGGATGATAAGCAATCAATCAAGGAGTGTTACATGGATCTAGGACTGTTCCCTGAGGACAGAAGAATTCCTGCCACAGCCCTGATCGATATGTGGGTAGAATTGCATGGTCTGGATGAAGATTTTGCTATCTCTAACCTCTATGAACTCTCTTTCCGGAATCTAGTTGATCTTAGAGTCATCAGGTAATTTGACCACCCATCCCTTCCAAAGTGTTGTACTTTTAACATTGGTTTGTGAGCATATTGACGTGATCGTGGCTTGATTGCATTCATTATCCAGGAAAGATGCAAGTGAAGATGATGATGATGGCTTCCACAATGAGGATTTCGTAACACAACATGATCTGCTGAGAGATTTAGCTATCATTCAAAGCAACTCTCACAGCTTTCAGCTCAGGCAAAGGCTTTTTGTGGAAATAACAGGTAATAGTTTCCCTTCGTGGTGGACGGAAAGCACAGAGAAAGTCTTCAAGGCCAAACTCCTAGCCGTTACAACAGGTTATTCATCTACATAACTATTTCAGCTATTCTCAACTTACCTTTACTCTTTCTAAATAAGTACGCATGTTGCAGATGAAAACTTCTCATCAAGTTGGCCTGACATAAATGCTCCTGAGGTAGAGGTATTAGTTTTGAACTTCAAGACCCAGAACTATGGCTTACCCAAGTTCATTGCAAGAATGCAGAACCTGAAGGTTCTAATAGTTACGAATCACGGATTAAGTCCTGCTGACCTCAGTGAAATCTATCATCTTGCTTCTCTACCCAATCTGAAAAGAATCAGGCTTGAAAGGACTTTGATTCCACCAGATTTCCTGCCAAGCATTGCATCAGGGACTCTACAAAAGTTATCCTTATTCATGTGTAGTCTTGGTCAGGCCTTTAGCAATGTAATCCTTCAGCCAAATCCTTTCCCAAACTTGGAAGCGATTGACATAGACTACTGCAGCGATTTGATGGAGGTTCCTTTGTGGTTCTTCAGTCTAGTTCAACTGAAAAAGCTTAGCATCACCAACTGTCAAAACCTGTCTGTATTGCCAGAAGAGCTTGGGAACTTGATGACTTTGGAGGTGTTGAGGCTTAGTTCATGTATAGAGTTGTCAGAGCTGCCAGAGTCGATTGGGAATCTTCAAGAGTTGAAATTTCTGGACATATCAGACTGTGCAAGCGTAAAGAAGCTACCCGAACAAATTGGTGATCTCTGCAACCTGAAGAAGCTCTACATGATCGAATGTGATCGCTGTGAAATTCCCATATCAGTTGCTCAACTATGCAATCTGAAGGAGGTGGTGGGGGATGAAGAAACAGCCAACTCATGGGAGATATATAAGACTTACATTCCTGGTTTGAATATCACCAAGCATAAAAATGTCAGCTTAGACTGGCTTCACTAGTTCCCATGTATCCATGAATGCACTGATGTCATGTATTTGTATTTAGTTTTTACATGATTCTTATGTGTAATAGAGTAATTCGTAATATGTCTGATCTTGTAGATCTTTAGTGCAGACGTGTCTTATTTAACTGGATGGATGACTATTTTGATTTTCCAAAAATTGAGCTCAACCTGAATTCATTAACTAAATTTGGGTTTCAATCAACCACAAAAAAGTCCCAGCACAACCAATAACTCGAGGAGAAACACGAAGCCATAAAAATGTGTTATCCTGTTGACAAAGAATGGCATAAGGAAGCCAAGCAATTCGCTGCAAAGTTTGCCTCTTGAAATATATGCTAGGTATGGACTTGCCGCGGAAGACTTAGTAACATCAATCAATTAATTAAAAGTACAAGTTATTTATTACTAACTAGATAAGTGGCCCGCGCTCTGCGGCGGGTAACTGTGCACAACGATTTGATTTGCACAATGAAATCAACAAATATATCTTTGAATAGTATATGATTTGAATGATCCACAAATATATCTTTGAATGTGACTCATCAGTGCTTGAGTCGCCAATCTAGATAACAACTAAATAAACTCTGAACAACTCCATCAATTCGCGATCCAAGCCCTAGGTGTCCCATGACCAAATCGTCAGCTTATTTATTAAACATTAAAATCCATAGGAAAAGAATGCAATACTGTTGGAAATTGTGTGAACTTAGCATTTTCTAATTTTAATAGCTATATATAGCCGCCAAGGCACCAATATAGTTAGATCCAGTGTGAGGCAACCTGATAAAAGCCACTTGGTAAAAAGAAACTGATAAAGGACAAGGACAGGAGAAGTATTTAGATTTGTTAATGCTAAGTATGCTAGAAAATACTGCACGAAACACCACAAACCACAGTATACCTGTGCAATGGAAATAATAAACTATATATTGTTGTCAAATAATAAAATGAAATGGGAGACAAAGTACTAAAATTTCACTAAATAAAGATAAATTCACAAAGGATCAAGTATAGTCGTGATTGAACAAACAATGAATACTCTACAGCGAAAAATTACATATTCAACCAACAAAAACATTTCATATCATAGAAAGTTATACATCTCATTTTAACTAAACACCAATTCTATTTCTTTCAATAGTTTCCTTACCTATATAAAAATAAATAAATCATCAATAGTATGAATTCTTACAATCTCATGTGTAAATACAAATCATATATGTTTTATGAATCATTTTAGATTACCAAAAATCTATCAACAGCATTAGAGTCAAGCCCAAAAAGAGACCCATGAAGGTTTTTTTGGGCAAAACTTATTAGCTTTTCTCATACTAATGAAGGAAAATTTATCCATGCAATTGATTAGTGCACAATTAAGTCAACCCATGAAATCTAAAATTAAAATGGAAAAGAATTAATAAAGCAGAAAGAGAACATTTTTATGTACAAATGATCTGAACAAATATTTAGCAAAGGGAAAGATAAGTTAGTATGGAGGTGGTATCCCTTCATTGCAACATGTAAGTCATGCAAATGGGTAAGATAACAACTGCATATTGAAGCTGGAGCTTGGAGGAAAACAAATAAAATAGCTCAATCGGGCTTAATTGTCAAGCTCTTTTTCACTAAAGTGAAGCCTGATTCGGCTAGGCAAACTCTTTCCCCTTCCCTTTTGTAATCGTTCTAAGAAGAAGAAAAGAAATGGACGCCGGGTGATTGCGTTGGGTTCCTTTCCACCAGCCTGCAAAGCAAACTCAATCAACTCTATACGATCCTTCCTATAATTTCTATGACAATACTCTCCAGCTACTAATGCAACCCAGCAACACGATGCGAGCTCTTCTTTTATCAACACTATCTCCCGCTTAAAACCCTAAAATAATATTCCCAGCGAAATCAAATTAAGCCACACAAAGGTCCCTCTCCTCTTTGAGAAGAACAATCAAGTCGAATTGGGCGGCAAAAAATGAACTCTTTCATGCCTTTCCTGGTCTGATGAAGCTTAACGGAAACTGGAATGGAAGCTCACGGCGGCGGCCGCTCCTTCTTTATTTCTCCTCTCCTAACTCTCCTTGCTTCTTCCATCTAGTTGCATGGTTGTTCTCAGGATGCTTCTTCGGTGGGATCTCCGATTGCTAGCGTCTCCCTTTCTGTGATTGTCATCTCGACTTGATTTGGTGCTGGGACATGAGAAATCGTAACGGTTTAGGGGCAGGGGAGTCGCCAATGAGCTTCCTAAACTTACCTAGCCTCCGGCTAGAATTCACCCGCCAAGACAGCGAATAATCTCTAGATGAGAGAGACCTAGACTTGGGTAATCGCTAGTGGGACGACGTAGGGAAATCGGAGAACACGGGAGAAGGGAGAAAAGAACCGGAAAGAATGAAGGGTTGTCGATCAAGGAAGGGCACACAGTAGCTTACGGTGGATAGGACCGTATCCTACTGGACCCCTAATGCAAAACAGGCGCTATTTATATTCTAATTGTACTGTTCCTTAAGGGGAGAAAAAGTAAAACCCAAGTCTTCGGCAAAACACGGTTCATTGGGGGGACTAGATAGTGTGACAACACCCTTGTGTTGTTATTGTAACAACACTAGCCTCCAACCAATAGGAATCTAGGATTGTGATGACTTTTTATTAGATGAGTTGACCTAGTGTAAAATCAAAGCAGGGGTATAATTGTCATTATGAAAAATATGTTTAAATAATAATAAAAAATAAAAAATATAAAAAAAATAAAATATATTTGTTTATTTTCTGCTCAAATTTTTGGTCGCCGGAATTCGGCCACCAGTCACCGGAATCTGGTCGCCGTTCACCGGAATATGCATTTTTGTCGTCGGAATATGCTATTTTGTCATCGGAATATGCTCACCGTCGCCGGAATATGCTTACCGGCATCGGAATCTAGTCATCGGGGCCGGAATATGCTTATCGGCGCCGGAATCCGGTCACTGACGGTCATCGGAGTTTGGTCAACGAACTTCGTTGACCGGTCAACGGTCTTCGTTGACCGGTCAACGGCCAACGACCACCGGATGTTATGGTCTGCATTGTGAGATTTATGGTTTGGTTTCTCATATTTTTGTATGCCTTTTGTGGTTTGCTTTATCGTGTTTGTGGTTTGCATTGAGAAGTTTCTGGTTTGTTTTATCGTGTTTGTGGTTTGTATTGAGAAGTTTCTGGTTTGCTTTCAAAAATTTTGTGGTTTGCATTGAAGGGTTTCTGGTTTGTTTTAATATATTTGTGGTCTGCATTAGGACGTTTATGGTTTTCTTTCGAAAATTTTGTGGTTTGCATTGTGAGGTTTCTGGTTTATTTTAATATATTTGTGGTTTGCATTAGAAGGTCTCTGGTTTGTTTGTTTTTTTTTTTTGTGGTTTGCTTTTCCGTGTTTGTGGTTTGCATTAGGGTGTTTCTGGTGTGCTTTTCAAAATATTTATGGTTTGCTTTGTGAAATTTCTAGTTTGTTTTAGGAGACTTGTGGTTTGTTTTAGGATGTTTCTAGTATGCTTTTTTTGTGGTTAGTTATATCGCATTTGTGGTTTGCATTAGGAGGTTTTTTGTGTGTTTTAGAAATAGTTGTGGTTTGCTTTGTGGTGTTTCTAATATGTTTTAGGCGATTTGTAGTCTGGATTATGAGGTTTCTGGTGTGCTTTAGAAACATTTGTGGTGTGTTTTATGGTGTTTCTGATATGTTTCAGGAGATTTATGGTTTACATTACAAGGTTTTTGGTGTGTTTTATAGTATGTTTTATTGGATTTATCAAAATGCCTTGGTCTCTCTTTTAGTGATACAGAAGCAGTCTCGTTGAGTTAATTTTATTTCCCCCACAAATTAGTGAAACATAACACATGGTTTCCATCTCCTTCATCAACATCATCAACTCAATCACTGCCAGTCTGTCATTATGAAATGGTGATACATTTACACCAGCACTAAAACCCGAAATCAGAAAAGGTAGAAACAGTGAATTTTTGTTAGATCTCTCATCCAAATGACTCGTGACCATTGCTTTCTTTCTCTTGAATTAAGCAAAATAAATCATCCAACTGACTCGTGACCACAAGTGACAAAGGAGGAAGAAAAGAATTGGGATTCACAGGATCAGCATCATGATCAACTTGAGCAATAAGCTGAGAGAGTTTGGTCAGATTCGTAGGAATATTTCCTGCCAGAGACACAACAGCTTGGTCTGGTAATGCATATCTTAAGCTCTCATCATGCACCCGAGCCTGAAAGGAAGTCCATGCAAATTGGTTAGGTTCAAAAGAAATGTTGCAGACTGTACCAAGAGGCATTTCATATGAGATGTTCAATACTTGAGTGTCAACTGTCAAGTGACCAAAGCGAGCTAAGCAGCTCATGATTTCGTATCACTTAAAAGTAAATGTGAAATCATATCAGGAAAAAAGCTACTGTAATCACACTATCCACTAATGCACTTGAAACGTTGGCCATAAGCAGCAAAGATAAGGAACAAGGCAGCCAACCAATCACTTCTCCAGAGAGCAAACAGCAAACAACGATTTGTAGTATGGATCGCTAGAGCTTTCGATGGCAAAATTTTCACAAGGAAGAGAATTGGATGGGAAAGGAGAAGTCAAGAGAAACATTCCCGCGGCGATTCTGGCAAAACTCGAGCCTTCACTTGTCGGATCTTCCTCACTGAGAAGCTCTAGCGATCTTTAGCTTCATGTGCGCTCGATTAATGTTCCTGTAGAGAAAAAGCCCTCGCCATCTCCTTCAGCTCGGCAGTCAGGGTCGTCGGATTCTGAATTCGAGATCCTCTTCAATATCCCGACCACCATATATGAAATCCATATCCGGATTTCTGGATCCGCTTTGCTGGTGGTTGTGCATCAGTATGACCGCCACCAGGACTCCTCAACGGTCGTACGATGAGATCCGACGAGTTGCGGCGGAGGACGAAAAGGAGGAGCCGGTGGCTGCCAATCTGCATCTGACGAGCCTGTGCGGAAGAAGGTGAGATCTGAATAAATAGTATAACGACTCTGATGGTGGCATCCTGATAGTAGTATGCCATTTGGCGTCGCCGGCGGCGGGTCTAGCAGCGTGGCGGAGTCAGCGTAGTGGAAGTCTCTGTGCTCGTCGTCGGCCGAAAATCTGGGAGATGCGCCGGAGGGGAGAAGAATCGAGTGGGGAGAGAGAAGGGTACGGGTGGGGTAATGACTCATTTAATTTTTAATTTATTACTTTTTTGAGTTTCCGTTTTTACCCCTGTTGTTACTCTAACAACACTATAAGTGTTGTTATGCTATCCGGAGCCCATTTTGAAGCAGTGCTTTTTCCCTTCGAAAAATCATATTTGAACAGCTTGCAGACAACCAGTGAAAATGCCATTCTTCATTCTGCGGATCCAATATTGATCACCTATAGCCTTCTCAATCTTGTTAGCAGTAGTGAGCAAGCTGGAAATGAGGTGACCAATCTTCAAACAAACCTGTCTGTTGGATTCAATCTCATCTCTAAAAATTCTGGGATTCTTTTCTATCCATATGCACCAGAAGAAGGTACGGAGAGCAGGGCACTTGTACACCATTCACGAGGGTTGGAAAGGCATACTGTGTGTCCAAGCTCTAATCGTTTCAGCAATGTCAGGACAGGTGTTTTTTTACCTTCACAAAGCAGCTGATCATCCTCCAAACATCTTGAGTGAAACTGCATGATCGAAAAAGATTATTGATGTTTTCTTCACTTCCACAACAAAGGGCGCATCGACTTAGGAACTCTTAGCCTCTCCTCTTGAGCGCTTCATGCGTAAGGATCTTCTTCTGAAAGGCAATCCAAAGGAAGACACATATCTTATGTGGCACCACCGTCTTCCATATCACCTTGAAAGGAAAATCAGCACCACCAGAAAAACGCTCAATAATCAGCTCCTTGTAACTGATATGATATGGAATCCATTGTGAGAACGATCCCACGCAATAGAAGAAGTACCTGCAGTAAACAAATCACAAGGCAAGTTATCGAGTAAGTTTAACATGTTCTGTTTCTTCCCTCAGTCCCCCCTCTCTCAGATTTAACTTAAGAGGGATATCCCAAAAATTCCTATGCAAGAAGATTTCCTTTAGACTAGTAATTATTCCAGAATGAAACCTCAGTCCCCCGAAGCAGCTTTCACGTAGGTAAACTTCCAAAATACATCATTTAATTTTTTTAATCTGTGACCACGGACTACAACCAGCAGCACCTTTTAATTCACATGACCTCCAATTAGTCATGCCATTAGGATACTAGTTCCAACTAATCAGCTCGCTCCACCAAGACTCTCTATTATGTGTGTACTTCCACCACCATTTGCATAGGAGGGTTTGATTTCTGGTTTTTGTATCCACAATACCACGACTAGCGAGTTTCTTCAAGTTTTTGCACCTATCCCAAGACACCAAATGATTTCTGGTTCTTCAAGTCTTCTTTGTCCTTCCACCAGACCAAACAAACTCCCTTTGTAATTTCTCAATTTTTTCAATCACCTCCTGGGGGCATGGCACATACTACACAGATACAACACTTGACTTTCTAGGAATGCGTTGCAAAGCGTAATCCTTCAACCTAAAGACAAATCCCGCCTTTTCCATCCACCAAGTCTCAACTGCATCTTATTTAGAATTGAATTCTAGACTGAAGATGAAGTTGGGGATGCAGCAAGTGGGAAGTCCAAGATACACCGAGTGTATAGAAACCCCCATTCGCAGCCAACGATATCAGCAAGTCTCTGGATGTCGATTTCACCAATGGGAAAGAGTCTACTTTTGAGTAAGTTAACTTTTAGTCCTGTGATACTTTGAAAAAAAATGAGTGTTGCCATTAGATTATAAGCACTATCCTCTGTTGCATCAGTAAAGACGATGACATCATTAGCATAAAGAAGATGATTGATTTCACCACGTCCACCCCGAGCATCCATAAAAATGCCATTAATAAGAACTGCCTCTTGTCCTTGCTGAAGGATGAAGGCGAAAAATATCCATAACCAAGTTAAAAAGAAATGACGATAAAGGATCGCCCTGCTTCACACCTCTCTGCATTATGGAAGAAACCTTCCGCTTCGGCATACGAGAACTGAGAGTCTTATTGAAGTAACCACTCGTCTTATCCATTTTTGAAATCACACATGTAGATCCATCTTTAACAAAATATTGAACAGGCAATCTCAATTTATTGAGTCAAATGCCTTCTCAATGTAGAGCTTGAATGCAATTCCGGGATGTCCAAATCCACGAATCATGCCGTGAAAATCTCAATTCTACGTAAAAATCTTTTGATAACCTACAAGTATAAAAACACAAGTTTTTAAACTTTAAACGGTAGATTGTGAGTTAGTGACTGCACTCCGTAATTGAAAACAACGATTTTATGTAAAAATGTTTTGATAACCTAAAAATAAAAACGTACATTTTTAGTTCTAAAACATGATTTTGATCACATTGTTCGCAACAAAATATCTCGAAGGATTCAGTTAACTTTTCAGAACGTCAACAGTGAAATGGCTGTTTTTTTGGCGCGAAGCCAAACAAACTAGGGAACCAAGGGACCTGTCTCAGTGGATCACGTTAAGTCCGAAATTAAATTCCCAAAGCCACATATTAATTACCCCGACACCATTGGCAAGCAATCCCATTCTCCTCTCCATTCACTTTGCTGCACTGCAAGTTGCTTACAACTTGAATCAGCTTGATTAAAAAAAAAAAAAAAAAACCAGAAAGAGTTGCTTATCGTGTTAAATATGTAATTAATGCCGATCCGCTCTCGGCTGCGCCGTTCTCGCTGCCTTACATCCTTCGGAGACCTTCCTCCCGCCACCATCACCACCACCGACGGTTCTGAATTCATAAAATATTACGATTGACTTAAAATGGGGCAGAGCCACGGGGCTCGTTTCGAGGAATTCTGGTCAACATGGCAACTGGGTATGTTTAGATTAATCGAAAGGTTACTTCTTTCGTTGCGAATCCGCGTGGTGGCATCGGAAATTCACGAGAGCATGAAGTGCGCCGCAAATGGGCTGAGATCCCTTGGGATCTCTCGTGTCCATGCTGGCAGCTGCAGGATCTTGAATCCCCCATCTGGGTTTGATCGCAAGTACAGTACATTGCTTCAGCCAATCCTCTTATATAAGCTTGCACACCAAGTGTTCGACTCATTGCTTCAACCAACTTTCCCTTTCCTCGAGTCCTTGAGGAATCCCAATCACATATTGGGGCACATATCTGAGAGGGTAGCTCTCAATGTTGAACATGAAGCAAGCCAGTTTTCTGTGTTTTTGTCTCGGGATAGTGTGTTTGCTGAGTGGGACTTGGGTGCAAGCAGAGGATCCTTACAGATATTTCACTTGGGAAGTCACCTATGGGACTGTTTCTCCTCTAAATAAGCCTCAAAGAGTAAGTGTTTTTGTCTTCTTTTTTCCTGCGGTTACTTTGCCTTTTCACTCTTGCAGTTCCATTTCCTTAACTAGATATGATGCTGCAGGGTATACTCATCAATAAGCAATTCCCTGGCCCGCCTATTGACGCTGTGACAAATGACAATATCCTAGTAAATGTCATCAACAAGTTGGACGTCCCTTTCCTCATAACATGGTACGTGTTGACGCAGATAATGATGTTGGCTTTTGTATGTTTATGGGTCCTGAGCTTGGGAAATGGCTGATATGGGGAATCCTCTCAGGAATGGGATTAAACAAAGGAGGACTTCATGGCAAGATGGAGTGCTTGGGACACAGTGTCCAATCCCTCCAAACTCCAACTGGACCTACAAGTTCCAAGTGAAGGATCAGATTGGAACCTATAACTACTTCCCTTCGATCGGAATGCAAAGAGTTGCTGGAGGGTATGGAGCTTTCAACGTCGACCAAAGATCAGTGATTTCTAAACCTTACCCGGAACCTTTTGAAGAATTCACCCTGCTTGTCAGTGACTGGTACAACACCGATTTTAAGGTTTGTGCACACATTTGTCTCAGTTTGCTTTTTCCTGTGTTTATTGCCTCATTAGTTAATTAAGCATTTGGCTGATAGAGTATATGTTCCAACTCACTTTCTGGTAGATTTTGGAGAAAAACCTGGACAAGGGAACTCCTCTCCCTCTTCCTGATGGTCTTCTCATAAATGGGCTTCCTAGTGGCCGAGCTGTGTTCACAGGGGTAAAAGGTAATGCTTCACCATCCTGGACCGTCTGTATACGTCGAAAATGGGAACTGATATCTAAACTGTTGTATCCTATTAAAAAAGTTTCGTGATACGTAAATGAAAATAATGATTGATTCAAGATTTAAGACGTTATATAGAATATAATGTGGGCTTCCTAGTGACCTAAGACTTCATATAGAATATAATGATTAATTTTTATGATACGTAAATGAAGATGTTACCTTACCTTTTATAAGTTTCATGACAGCTCATTTCTAGGACAATGAGTACCGAAACCCAAACTAATCATGAATAGGAGTCTAGGCTTGTACAGCAAGTATGTTTTGACAAATTACACAGTAACATCCACACTTTAACGATGTACTTTCCTGGTGCTGTTTTTTGGTGTGTGGATTTCATCTAACCGAATGACACTACATCACTACCTATCAGATAAGCTCTACAAGTTCAGGATCTCCAATGTGGGTGTTGCAGTAGCAATCAACTTCAGAATCCAGGGACATACAATGACTCTCATCGAAGTTGAAGGTGCTCATACATTGCAAGAAGTCTATGAGTCCCTTGATGTTCATGTTGGCCAATCTGTGACTGTGTTGGTCAGATTACACTCACCGTTGACCAAGGACTACTTCATTGTTGCTTCCTCACGTTTCACCAAGCCAATCCTCACCACCACTGCGATTCTCAAGTACGCAGGCTCAACCACACGAGCTACTAAGCCATTGCCAGTTGGACCAACTTACCATCTCCACTGGTCAATGAAGCAAGCTAGGACTATGAGGTAAGGAGGAAGAAAAAAGAACTGGCTAACCAGTTTTCCATTTAACAGGGAACCAACCTGTAAAAAAGGTTATTTCTTGGCTGCTGAATCA